TAAGAGAATGAAATACATTCAATTCCGACGTGCATAGTACAATATATTTAATATGTTCAGTTAGATTGACCGGTTGTTTGGTCAAAAATTGAAGATACAGAGAGTATAGTATTGAATCCTCCGAGCTAGATGGTTATATCATGGAGGTAGAGGCTAAAGATATTGCCTAGAATGACAATGAAAGCTCCACAATTCAACCATTTAGCTTGGAGAAGTCAACATCAACAAAATAATCCGCTTGATCAACAAAGTTTCTCCATAACACATATATACACTTATCGATTGTTTAAAGATCCCCATCATATTAAAAGACTAATATTTGAATAAAGAATATTCTTTTCAGATTCTACGATTCATATATCCAAATTAACAATCCAAAAAATGATCAGTTTAAGGGTAAAGTGCATCGTTTAAAGTTAAAGCATGTAAATTTAGGATTATCAAACAAAATAGAATAAAATTATTAATGTTGATATGACTCATATAGAATCAGCTTATATGGCCAAGATTGTATGGATAACCAAAGGTACACAAACCGGGGATCCCACTAAGACCAAGTTTAGATATGGATAACTCTTTTTATCATACTATAACTAAATGGCTGGTAACTTTTATTGAAACCTATAGATGAAAAACTTATAAAACAATATTAAGAATGTATTCCGATTTGTTCATAAGATCAAAAATGCAAATACTTTGGGACTAAAGATGATGTCTTTGGATGTAACATCATTATTCACAAATCATTATATGTGAAATAATCTCAGCGATTGAAATCTAAATAATTCAAACGTTTCGTCCAGCTAATTTATCTGGACGAAATGCACCATAAAGGTAATTTTCAAGTTCAACGGAGAAATCTATAGACAAACGGATGAGATTGTAATGAGTTCACCATTACGTCCTATACTAGCTGACATTTTTCTAGCCAAACTAGACAATGGTCCACTCGTAAAGATCATTCAAAAATTCACATTTTACTGTCGATATGTGAATGATACGTTCATCCTCTGTAAAGATGATACATCACAGAAAGAGGTTCTTAGGCAGTTTAATGAAGTACATCCAGCTATTGAGTTTACATCTGAAGAAGAGAGTGATGGTAGAATAGCTTTTCTGGACGTTCCCTTAACTAAGAGGGAGAATGGATCATTAAAAAGGAATTTAAGTAGAAAAAATAGCTGGAAATGACAGTACACACACTTCCCTAGCTTTGTACAAAAGAAACCTGATCAAAACTCTTAGTTACCGAATACGCACTATATGTTTTACGGATATAGGTGAAGAAGAGCTAATTACCTTGAGTAATACTATTAGGGAGAACGAATACCGTAAAAATTTTGCACTTAAATATATGATCACAAAGGTGAGAACAGGCGAAATATAAACGGTGAATAAAAAATCCCTGTTCATGCGCTTACAATTTAGAGATGCGATTAGCGAGATATTAACTCGGAGATTACGCAGAACAACCCAAAAATCTTTCAACGCCGGAGAACTAACGATTAGTGTTTTCTACGCGCCCAGTGGTGACACAGAGGTTAAAAGTTGAATTACCTGGAATGACCACCTTATTTTGTATTTATCAGTTCGACTGCTCCTGTGGAGCAAATTATATTAGTTGAAGTTTTAGGAGTTTGCATTTTCGTGCTCATGAACACCCAATGTGGCTAAGCAAAGGTCTGATGAAGAAAGTGAACAGCTCGATATTTGCCCATCTAGTAGAAACTGGTCATAGTGCCAGTATAAACCAATCAACATTAACAATTTTATTCTATTTTGTTTGACAATCCTAAATTCACATGCTTTAACTTTAAACGATGCACCACGCCCTTAACCTGGCCGTTTTTCGGACTATTGGTTTGGATATATGAATGGTAGGACCTGAAGAGGATTCATCGGAAGAAATATTCTTTGTTTAAATATTGGACTTATTGATTCATTTATTAATTATAGATTTATGTTCTTGGCTTCGAACCACACTTTTAATGTGAGGTCTAGTGATATCATCCAGTTGGCCCAATCAAAGTAGGTGGAGTGGGGAGTCCGGATATGCAAAATAGTGTCTGAAGGTCGGATGCCATAACTACTGGGTCACCGCCTCACAATATACACAAAAATTGGATTTGATAATATCAGTCAGTTAGTCATTATAAAAAAAGATTTAGGACAAGAGTGTAGAACACTTCCAATTGTGATACCTAACATCAATACAAACACAGAGAAAGGGAAGGAATTAACTAGCTGAGAAGCAAAGTATAGCAATAAACTTCAACTACAGTGAAAATCGAAACACGAGAAATACATTTTCAGAGTAAAAATACGACCGACGATTGGAATATTAGCAATGATACTGAATTCGATATTTTGAAGTAAAATAGAGAATGAATGCAACCATAACACTGACTACGTTTATCACATAAAATTCAACGCATCAAGTCATTACTGATTACGAGTAGTGCATAAGCCCAAATCAAGACGTATGTATCCTAGAACTGGTTCAAGAGAAGAGTCAATAACTTCATATGTGGATAAGATGTCTTGAGATGATCGTCTATAAATATTTTCCAGCCTACTTATGTTACAAGGACTAAGTGGTTACACTCCAAAACTTCTATTGACGTAATACGACTACTCAGTGATTTTTAATTCACTGAACATAACGACCATGGTCAGATGAAGACTGAAAACGAAATGTACTGAAGTGGAATTTAATTAATCCAACAAATTTCAGAAGAATAATGAAATCTCACTATAAGTTTCATCAAATAACATTTAGATCCTGCTAGAGAAAGACAATTAATTCAGAACATTTTGAAGATGTATTTACAATAGTTAAAATGATGATGTAGGAATAATTAAGAACGAAGAGTTGGTTTGGAATGATAAAAATAAAAGAAAATAATACAACAGATGGATGTATTCAATGTTCACGGATGTAAATAAAAGTTTGATGGTTTTTTGTGGAGATTGTAGTAATTTCAATGGTTAAGATCATGAGTCAGTTGAAGCTAGACCACTATGGAAAACCTGGAAGCACTGGACGGCCGTTTCGTCCTATTGTGGGACTCCTCAGCAGTGCACATCCACGACCTCGCCCCCTGCGAGATTCGAACCCAGGACCTACTGGTTTCGCGCACTGCTGAGGAGTCCCACAATAGGACGAAACGGCCGTCCAGTGCTTCCAGGTTTTCCATAGTGGTCTAGCTTCAACTGACTCATGATCTTAACCATTGAAATAAAAGTTTGAATCAAAATTAACTTTTCTGTAGAATGTTGGCACTTAAAAGAACAATAGCTAAAGAAATTGATGATTGATAATAGGTTTGACTAGATAATACGATGTGTGGTCGGATAATTGAATGTACTTATCGTCTTCAGTGCATTTCATCAGTTAATGATATAATGAAAAGTCTGAGTGACAAATACAAACACAATAAATACTTTCATTGCTTATGTAGAGTACATATTAGTAAGGTTAAGTGGGAGAAAAAAATCAGTGGAAAAAAAACCCGACAGTCTAACAGTACTACCGCCGACAACTAAAGCCGAGGATAAACAATACTATAAATGAACTTAGTGTATGCGGAATTCACATCCACACACACACACACATCAACACATACGCACAAAGTAAATCGCTTGAAAGAGACTACCTTGATTAAAATCAGCTTTTATATAATGAACGAGGCGAATATGCAAATAAGAATAAACGAAATAAACAGTCACACAATTCAATGGAAAGGAGCTAAATCGACAGATTTCAAACACCTTTTTGACTGAACACGGTAGTACTATTGACTAGGAGGAGACATAATTGATAAGCTACTTTACTACAATCAGCGGTAAATTGATACGGAAAAACGATTGTTTCAAACAAGCGATGCACATAGTTAAAGACCTGTTAGTAGGGTGTATATTAGATTTTTACAAAGTAGTAGCCAGGTGTCAATAAAGTAACAAGATTAACATCAAACTAAACCAAAGGCAAATACATAAAACTTTTTTCAGTAGGCCATTCATGATTCAATAAAACAGATATCAGATATGTTTTTCATAGAGTTATGTAGACAATAAGGTAGTATTTCATTATTTGGATGTCTGCCCCCAAATGCCCTGATACGGCTAAGAGTGGGGAGAGACAACTTTCCCACTCCAAATGCTCTCACATGGTCACGTGCATACAACCACTACCAGGGAAGTCTTACTCACTACATTCTCACACCACGGGTGTTGTTTGCGAAATTAAGAGCACGAAAACCGAATGTTCGGAGCATTAACCGGGTTAGTGGATACGGAGAGTCCACATAGGGGAGTTGGAAAACCATCATTCCAAACCAATGGTACAATGGTGCACTCCAGGATCCTGAAGGAACAAATTACGTATGAACCTATTGTTGGTCACCGACTATCATGGGGACTGCGTCACCTGACGCTGCTTCACTGCCTTTTGGGTCAGATCATTAGGTCGAAGTCTCTGGGTGTGGCTCCCTCAGCAAACCACCTATTTCAGTAGTATCACAGCCCACACATAAATCAAGTTCATCGTGTGGCGTATATCTTTTCGGTGCCTCCTTGTACCAAAGTTTATGTGTTTAAAAAAATAAATTTGGATGTTTATGCCTAATCTGTTATATCTTGAACATTGAGGAAACTGATATCCCCAAACAACAAACACAACGCTTATCAATTACTCATTATAGAGTCAGATACATCAAATTACAACTTATAGTTCTGAAAAAAATAATTCGAGTCAAATAACACGACTCAATGATTAAAGTCAAATTGAATGAAATTCAAGCGTGATTAACCTTAATAATTGAAAATTGAATTCCTAAATAAAATATTACTAGAAATCAGTCATTGGACTGTAAAGAAACTTAGTGTAAACAAAGTATGAATGATGATGTAATCACTGAGATGTTATTCAAAGGAATACAACGAATATAATAAATAATAAATAATAAACATTAAATAACAATATGCATTCAATATTATACCTCGGTAAGATGTATTTGATAAAGATTGTGGTAGTACATTGTCTAATGGATGTAATGCTTTTAAAGGACCTGAGCTTGTACATGATGCTGAATTGTTAAATATTAGACCTCCTCCACCAATCGAGGAATATGAATCTACATTGGCAGCAGCAGCGGCCAATCGAGCTTTATGCATTTTAAGTCGACGTGTTGTTGGCATAGTGGAATATTGTTTATCAACATCTAAATAAATATTATTATAACAAAAAAATTAGAAAATGAAGAACAAAAATTATCATTATCAAAAGTATTATTTTGAGTAGTATGCAACAACAAAAATTATTTTTTTGAAAAAATAAATTATTTGTAAAGTACATGTTGAGGATACTAGATCCCCAGAAATCTCTTGGTAAACCTTTTATTTTTGAAGTTTGAATTTTCCATTTCCGCGCCAAAAGCGTACATTTTTACCTTCAGATTGTAATGTCTACTTGGAAAGATCCTAAATGTCATTGATTTGTTGCCTCATAAATACGCTATTTTGTGACGTCTCCCAAGGACTTTTTTATACTGTATATATATATATATATATATATATATATATATATATATATATATATATATGCTTGAGTTGTGTGTTTGGTTTGTTCGTGGTCCTGGCTGCCTGTGGAATATACCTTTCCCTCATTTGAACCTGGTCTGAAGCTGGGACCCATTGGAATACTTTAGTTTGTCTTGCCGTTCGGTCCAGCGATTTGGGTATTCTCGTAATCTCTTCAAAGATAGTATATGACTAACAACGGAGTCTAGGACACGGTGCTTTTTTCTAATTAAGACTCCACAGCCAGCAGACGGACAGGTCTCATCAACATAGCCTGGCACAAATATCATTAGTTCACGTTACTATACTTGATCAGCACAAACATATAAAAACAACAAAAGGGATTGAAATAATGTAATATCAATGATACAAAGGAACACTAAACATTTGGAATATAGTTCGAATAGATAGAGTGGAAAAGTATATCTGAAGGGATACTGGGATTCCAGATCGACGCAATTGTCATGTGGACGCCAATAAGATTATATGCACCTACCAACATGGCTCAGATCAATTAGTAAATGACTTCACAAACTGATGTCATGTTTTATTTTGGCCTCCTTTACTTCTATTTAAACTTACTTCCGCCCTTACAAGGATCTCTTGTAGAGGTAGGAGGTAGTTAAGTATATGTAATAAATGTCTCGACCATATCCATCATAATAGAACAGATTTATGAATTCATAAAAAGTCTATACAACCGATCTTTTTACCTTGAAAATCAGCATTAACAACACTGAAGCGAGTTACAAATAATATGTTATCCTCTCCCTTGTGCTTTATTGACAAAATTCTCACATATTTAGTTGATCTTTTGCTCACACATAATTATTAGACTACATTCGTTTCGTTATTACGTGACCATTATTAACATTTTATTGAAAATATTCTCAATGCACGTACTAGATATGATGGAATCTGATAATTTTTTATAACAAAATGGTTTAATGAATTTGGTATTGATTTAATTATTTTATTATTCATTCATCATTATTTTCATGAACACCTCTAAGCTTGTAGTGGTATTATCTAACGGTTAGTCTCTTATTGACATATGTGATTCCTGTGCGTATTGCCTCGACATTACCTTAATTCATAAGCATTATAAGCAAAGATGGATAGTGGCTAGCAGTGAAATTTAAGACGCGGATTTCGTTCTATTTGGGACTCGTCAGCTGGATGTACATGCATCTTCTCAATGTTTATGTTCACTTCGAGACTTGAACCCGGGACCGTTCGCTTCAAATACCATTGCGTTATCCACTTAGTTACTGGGTCCTGAGAGCCACTTGCTTATGCGATGGGGTGAAGTTTAAACTCACTTGGTACATCCAGCTGACGAGTCCCAAATAGAGCGAAATACGCGTCTTGGATTCTACCGCTAGCCATTATCCATCCTTGCCTATGTTACCATTTAGTTATTTCTATGAGTAGAGATGAGTAGGTTGTACGATAATTTGACACAAACAGTCCCACCCCACCCCCATGAATTGAATTCAGTATGATCTGTTGTGATCTGTAGAGTCAACTAAATCTCGAATGAGATAATGGTTCACCGATAAGAGTCGATAAAGATTAAGTTATGTCAGTAGGAATTGAAGCCATGTTCCCCAACCGGGTGATCTAAATGTTCATCATGAGTTCTCATTGTTCTGAGTCCGACTATAAGTAGAATATGTGAAGTGTATTACTGAAGAATCCTGGAATAAAGCGAAGCATTTGCCGAATGTTGATTAGTGTATAAAAGTTGTATCTCTGAAGTTAGTCAGTTCAAGTTGAAAACAATCTTCAAATGAATTTAATTTGCTAATTCATTTTTTAAAATTTATACTAATTAATGAAATACTAAACAGACTAAAATTACCTTCTGGCATTTTATAACGATTAGGAAGGATATTTGTTTGAAAAAACGAATATTGTGAAGCATCCACATGACCATGACGTTTTTCTGAAACACTACGACGTCCAAATCCATCACGTAAAAAGTTTCTGTTAGATGGTACTGATAAATTTCTTGATGTAGGATAGTTTACTTTTAACAACGATTCTGTTGATAACAGATGATTATCCTCATGAATATCTGATCTTTGACTAGATAAATGTGAATGAGAATCCCCATGATAATCATGATGCAATATATGTGATCCAATTTCAGAAGATATCGAGTCAGATCTATATAACAGACGTCGACGACTATCATTTAATGTAAACGATAATGAACAAGTATCTTGTGAATCAGCTGGGCTATTCAATTTACTATTTTCATGACGACCAGGATGACCCTTTTCTACTGCTTCACCACGTATTGTTTTAATGTGTCTACAACTAAGATAAGAAGAGATCTGATAGTTTTGTTTATAGAATGTTGTGGTCATTAGTGTCTTGTGAAAAATACCTGAATAAATTCCATGTGAAGGTTATAGGCAAAATAAATGAACTATACAAGAGTTTTAATTTTGATTACGATCGTAATAAATATAGAGCAAAATTAGTTTACATTAATATTGATATTACTGTCAATCTATTGATGATGTGATTTGAAGTGTAGCAGTTCATGTTGATATACATCTCTGTACCAAGTCCTATGCAGTTCATAACTAACTACAACAATGAATGTATTTATCATCAAATCTTGATGAATCTATGTTCAATGGAATATAAAAACCACCTATTAAGTCAATTCAATTTAAAAAAACATTCCACATATAGATCATTCAGCCCAGTGCTATAAATGTGAATATATATTTGCTATCTAAAGCCTATACATTATAAAACTTATCTCAATATAAATGTCCATCAGCGAGAGAGTTGAATGAGACTAGGACCAAAAATTAATTACACTCTAATACTTTAGAGCTTTCAGCACACAAATAAGTTAATAATAGATTGAAATTAGATGGTTTAAATTGTTTGTTTTGGCTAGCGTTTTTTTAGCAAGGCTTTTTTCTACGAGATAGGGTTGCTGACCCCATGCCCAAACCTCTTCTTTTACCCAGGCTTGGGATCGGCAGTAACCCTAAAAGAGCTACCGGACAAAGTTCGATGGAGAGTCCTGGAGGGCGGCCTACGCTCCTCCACGAGGGGTACCGAGCGTAAGTAATTAACAATGAAATTATAGAGAAAATTTATAGCACGAGTTGTGTTGTATTCTCTTAGCTGAATGGTTTGATCAGAAAACTTTCATTGTTATTTTGGGCAATACCAGTAGAGCTTACCTCCCATATAAAAAGAGGAGAGACTTTTAGTCATTCCACAAGTGTTAAGTTACTCTGTTCTGACGAACTAGTTTATGAATGATTGTCTTCCACGTTTTGATCAGTTTCACTTATCATTTTGTTCCAGTTGAATGTGTTCGCATGACTAAAATCTAACGATGCAAATCGACGTTGGCTTTTTTGTATAGATCGGTTAATCAAATATAATATTGACCTGTTTAATAGTTGACCTGAATATCATCATACCAGAATATTCTTGGACTATAATTTCCACGTTTTCCTACTTACATTGAAATACGTGGTTGTCTACGTGCACTGATAGGATACCATGCCATTTTTACTGCTATTTTTTGTTGGTTGATGTATATAGAGACACAGGATATTCAAGATGATGTTTATACTAGTAGCTACAATGTATTTTGTAAATAATATTTCATGTTTAACTTCGATGCTTTGTTTTTCAGTCTACATAAAATGGAATAAAATGATCCGGTTGACTTATGATGGATGTTGATTCCGAACCACTTTAAAATCCTTGTGCTAATATCTGGGATGAATATCATATGTGTGAAAACACCGATCATGGGAAAAGAGAACCGGAATGTTATGTTATCCTAGTTTAAGAGTCCTTTTCAACCAGAGAGTGGCAGGTCGAAACTTAAAACCTTTAGGTATCACGATGTGCACTTAACCTCTAAACAATTAAATTAGCACCCAATGGTTAACATTTCTAATTTCAACCAATACGAGATTTGTTTACTGGCTTACGAAGATAATCTTTTGTTGATGTAGACACTGTGATAAAGTTGAGAGTGTAACTATGATTACTGAGGATGGGCAGACAACTAAATACTTCATTTTTACGTGGAATAAGCACTGAAAAATAATGAAAGCTTCGTAGTATAATAACATATTTTGTGGACAGTTTATTCATTGTACTTGATAGCAATAATCTTCAACCGTTAGGCTTATATTTCAGTGAAGGCAACATGAGATGGAATAATTTGAGTGGAAAAATGTAATTCGTGAACTAAGTATCTACAGAGTTTTGATTCATATATGAAGATTGTTGACGCTATGCCTCTTTACGATACATAGTAGAATCCAGGTGAGAGGTTCGAACATCCAATCTGACGATTTAAAACTGAGTGTTTGAATCACTAAGCTACCAGTTACACTCACTAATCGACAACAGGTCAAGTAACAATAACACAAAATTGATAGCCTAAATAATGATTTAAAGAATGGGTTTGGATGTATTAGAGGTCAAGTTATTAGACCATCAAGTCAGACTGAACATCATCACAACAGCAAATCTCTATTCTATGAATCACGATACTTTATTGATTGCATTGCATAAAATATTGCGTCAAAGCAAAATGGGTGGTAATATTCAGTCACTTAATAAAACTTGATCGATAGGTTACGATGAACGATAAAAACGTATCCTACCGATCGTATCTAAATCAAAGTCTCAATGTGACGAGTAAATCAAATATTTTGACAAAACTACAAAGTTTGTTTACATACACAAACACATATAAATCATTTTACCTTGGTGGATGTGCAGATGTTAGTTTCAATGTATCTCCAGTACTTGATCGACGATCATTTTGATTCTTATATCGATGAACAGTGAGAGTGAATGAGGCTGACGATTGTTCGGAGTTACTAATATTTCGCTCATGACATTGTTTGATAACATTTTTCAACTTATTTGCAATAGTCTAGAGTAAAACAAATACCCCCCAAAAAAAGTAAACGAATGAATCCCCGTTAGTATTATAAAAATAAGTATTAAAGAATAGATATGTAGTTTATCATCACAAATTAAACAATAATACTGGAAAGTTGTAGCTCATGTGGAGTTTTTTTCAAGATTCGAACACTATATTTTGTGCTAATGATGTTCAGAAGAACAATAAAAGATTCACGACCAAACTATCCAGCTCAGAGAACAAAACCCCACCTAAACAATAATGAGTTTTCGTCGACAAATGGTGAAAAAAAACATTAGTAAGAGTATTGTAAAGCACTAAACATCTGAGATCAGTAGCTCAATGGATAGTTTTTTAGGAATTTAAAACAAAAAGGACTAGGGTTGAATCAATATGTGAACATCAACATTGAGATACAGTGACATTCAGCAGACGAATCCTAAACTGGAAGAAATACATGTTCCTTGATCCCACTATTAACTACATACCATTTATATGAAAATATCAAAAAAATTAGGCAAGTAGTAACTTTGTCAATAACGAATAATTCATATAATCACATATAAAGCTGATATTTAAAAAGAAGGAATGGTAGGTTACACCATAAATTAACATTTTGAAGTAAATACTTTCTTTTTATTAGATAATAGATATAATAACAATCAATTGAACAGAATAACATATGTTTATTTTAGTTCTTCAGGTTCTCATCAGCAATCTAAAACCTGAAGTATTTATGTATTATCTTGAAAATAAGTAGCAAGAATAAGAATTTGACAACATAACAGAATACACTGAATTATACATTTATGTTGTGAACAGTGGGTAATCCGACTGTTAGGATTTTCAACACGAGGTCGTATCATTACATCCAGTTTACTTAATGGAATATGAAAAGATCTACAAGTTCCATGTGCTTAACATTACCATATAGCATTCGATTTATTTAAAGAGTACATAAACTTTAATAAATTTTTGTCTACTCAGTTATAATAAGGCATTTGTTTAAATATTGTTCTATAGAGTATAACGGGTATGTATGGAAAATCGAAAAACTGAAAGAAGGATTATTAGGATGAAGTTGTGAAGATTGTTGAGTTTTTGGTTGAGATCATGAATTGATCAATGTTAGACCATCATTGAAAACCTGGAAGCACTGGATGGTCTTTTCGTCCTAATATGAGACTCCTCAGAAGTGCGTTGATTGATTAAAGTAGGAAATTAATAACGTTGGATCCTGCTCACTAGTCTAAAGGTTAAGCGTTCGAGCGTGAAACCTGACGTCCTGGGTTCTAAGTTCACGTGCGAAATCGAAGGCGTACACTGTTCACGACTCCCACACTAATACGAAACGGCCGTTCAGTGCTTTCAGGTTCTCAATGGTGGTCTAATATTGATCAATTTATGGTTTCAAGAAAGAAAGATTGATGAATGTTGAAAAGTGACTAAAAAAACAAATGCTATCCGAAAAAAACCATTAAAAAATAAAACACAACAAGTCGAATGTGGCTACAGTCAACAAAAAATCAACCTTCATCCATCTCAATTTAAAAAAGGTAATAATGTTGCAGTGATCGCCAGTAGAATTTTGAACGATTCAGTCAGCAGAACCTTTTCTGGAACTTAACTATTAACCCTGTATCAAACAACGTATTCAATAACTGAATAGTCGATGAGTGTCTTTTTTATGTTACCGTCAAATTGGTTTATAAATTTACATGTATCTACAACGGCAGCTACACTGGTCGAACGGGAAATGAGGTGATCATTTGAATTCATTAAACATGCTTTACAAAGCAACCAACCAAAATGAAACAAGCCTTTTGATGAATGGTTCAATCTTCAAAGATCACTTAAACACAGAACACTAAGTTGATACCTTAAAAATCTTTCAGTATGATTAATAATCAACTGAACTGTAATATTTTCAAATTTACAATAGCCATTTCTATCACGTAACCCAAAATCTCATTTCTATGTTCAAAAAGGAACGGCTGATATTGTTTATCTTTGTCTTGATAATATAAAATTTATTTGATTACATAATAAGAATATTTTCAATGATTTCATTCGATGAATTACATAATTATGTCACTTTGTCAACTCTCTTCTACTTCAATAAATCTATCTTTATTTAACTAACTGATAATTACACATTTTATTCTTTATTTATCATAAGCACTAGTTTGTTACACGTAACCACTTATTTATAGCCTTTGGGAATTTTCTTGAATACAATTTTTTTTTCCCATTTTTCTTCAATCTGAATAAGTCAAGAGTAAAATGATTGTTCTAGTTTTGACCGATTTCAACTGTTTAAATATTTTCGAACCATTTTGTAATTATGATCTTTTTTACATGTTGTTAAGTTTGAGAATTTTAAGTTTCATTCCTGATGCAGTCCTGAATCCACATTGTTAAGGAGTTGTTATATACTAAAATGAAACAGCTGATCAACGAATATCTTACTTACTTACTTACGCCTGTTACTCCCAATGGACCATAGGTCGCCGACCAGCATTCTCCATCCATCCTGGTTAAACTTAATTCATGAAGTAAAGAATATACAAACCGACCAAACTCCTAAAATCCTGTAAGCTCATAATAAGGACTGAGTATGGATTATCTAACATCTACAGACTTCAAAATGATTTCTGAGTACATAAAAGATGACTTTTTTTTTCTTATCCAATTGCCTATATACCGGCTTTTACCAGTTCGCATGTTCCTAAATCATGTACTTTGAACTCCTTAAACACTATTTATTATTATTTATTTATTTAAACACATAACCAAAGCTACAAAAAGGCACAAAATATATATGCACCACATAAATCATTTGAATACTGCCCGGACACCCAAACCTAGGCAGATGGTCTTTTTATGGGACCACACCAGAAGCCTTCGACCTAAAGGTTAAGCAACGTCAGGAGATGCAGTCCCATGGTAGTCGGTGACCAACAATAGATTCACACGCAATTTGTTCCTTCAAGATACTGGAGCCTATGTGTACCATTGGTTTGGAATGATGACTTTCCAACTCCCCTATGTGGACTCTCCGTGTCCACCAACCCGGTAAAAGCGCCGGACATTCGGTTTTCGTGCTCCTAGTTTCGTAAGTAACACCTCTGCCGCGAGAAGGCAGTGAGTAGGACTTCCTAATAAGCACTAACTTTCAGCAATATAATAGTCTCCAGAAACAATGAACAAAGAAACAGGTCGGAAATATGCAAGAAAATACGAAAATCGGCAACCAATCTGGTAGTTGTTTAATCAAAATAAGAAAGATGAAATCAATCGTCTTACAAACTGTTTTCGAAAATTATCAAACATAGTACTGTTGACATTTTTCCTAGCTTCAAAAGAATTTTCTAAGAACTCCCAACAATTAGAAAGAAAAGAAAAGAATCCTAGCTAGTGTTCGCTTTCAACAGATACATACAACAGCATGCATGACTCAGCATATGTATAAACTGATCAAAGGGAAAAGAATACGAGTTCGATTTCAATCTAATTATAGATTTCTTAAATCTTCTGAAATCCAAGAAGTTTTAATTATTGGATAAAATTAAGTCTAGCTTCTGTATACAAAAGGAATATATTCTATTCTCGTCTTCAGTCAGTAACAACGTAGAACTTCGTACGTACGTACATCAGTTCGAGTTGCCATACCACATTAACACAGAGATGCAGTTGTCGATTCAAATTCCGTAATGGTAGAGGTAGTAAGAGTATAAGCAGTAATCGGGAACATTAGGGTTCGGAGATGTTATTCAAGAAGTATAATCCAGCGAAATAAATTTCGAAAGAGAAAAAAGAGACAAGGAGGAATCAGGAGATTAGAATTTTGAAGAACAAAAAGAGTGGATGCACCTGAGCCATTGCAAATGATTTTGAGTCATGTCATTCAGGGTCTCTAACCGTCGGTTGCTATCATCTCGCGATCCCCAACCAGGTAGTCTACACCTACCAGCATGACTCAGTCCACTTGTCAGTGACTTAATGGACTTGTGTCATATTTTGGTCTGGCCGCCCCTAACTTTCTTCCAACCTACTCCTATACCACTGAACATCGCACGTCAAGGCAGTCGGTCGTTGAGCATACGTAACACGTATCCCAGACATCTCAACTGATGAAGTTTCACTACTTCATCAATTGATTGGACATCCTTAACTAGTACCATTTTCCTAACAACTCCGTTACTTACTCCATGGTCCCAGGATATACGAGCAATGTTTCGCTATTCTCGTCTTAATACTTTATAATTAATAACAGTTTCAGCATGATTGATGGAATAAATGCTTTATATTGTAATGAATCTATCATAGTTCCAAACACTTGTCTGATATCTTCAAGTAAGGGAAGAAGTCAAATGTTAATATTTTTAAAGTCACCCATACGTTATTACATAACATGTTCTATGAAATTCAAAGAAAATAAATTAATTTGTAATTACAATTCGCCAATATGTGAATCAGAATAAATATTATCATTCGTTTTTAGCTTACTTTAGCATTCATTCCATCTACAGATTCCTCATTAATTGCAACAAGACGATCGCCAGTTTTTACAGTTACATGATTGTTTGAAGTAACAAGAGTATCAGGCAGAAGACTATCGACATATAAACCTGGGATAGGAGAATACTGAGATGGAGAAGCTGGTCTTGTAATTGACTTTGTAGTTACTGTCTGTGGTGATGATGGGGATGAAGATAATAATGGTGATGTTAAAATATCATTGGACCATTTGAAATTGATTCCTAATACTGGAGGTCCTTTTATAGTATCTGATTGATTAGTAGTAGTATCCAATGGAAGTTGATACTCAAAGGTACAAGTCATAAACGGCTAAATATTAATAAAAAGGAATGAATAAGAACAACCGATAATTATTTGAAGCTGACTCACCAAGTACAATTATTTATGTGATTTGCTCTAAGTAACATATTTATTATGTGAGAGCTAATGTAATCCTACCCAGTTACCAAAACCAAACTAGGCAGAGCAAGATTTCTATCTGAGACTTATTGGTTGAAAGTCAAGGTTTTTAACCAACTAAGTCATCAATCAACCAACTATCAAAAATAAGATCCATAACTCAACAACTCAAGTCTAACCAATGATCAACGTCACATTCTAGATTTAGCATAAAAGTAGCCTGGTGATGCCTACATTAGAATATGACCTGATTCATGATCATATGTAGGTCCATGACTTTTCTAAATGGTTGGTGAATTGGGTCGATTTTGATGTGTTTATTGATCGTTGATTTACCTAACTTCAAGTGTTTAGAAACACTTTGATCTTCTGTATATTTTCTCTATCCAAAATCTCAACATTTTCCCAATTGAACATGTATCCATGTGCATTGATATCAATGTAGACACATTATGAAGATAAAGAAGGTGCCTACTTATCCAATGTAGTGTTTCTCGCAGTTGGAACAGTTTATTTTAAAGATGTTCATCATCAACATCAAAAGAGCATCAACAACAAAAAGATCCATGATTAAAACATCCAGCTCAGAGAACAAAGCTTAACATTCCCCTAGGGCGGCCTGCTTGAGCATCTGGGCTACCTGTTCCTGCCATCTAGATATTTCAACAAGTTATCTATTGTTGTTTGTTTTAATATATCATTATGTTTATTAATCGCATAACCTATTCTGCTGCGTTTCTGAAAAGTGTACAACCTTTCGTTGTCAAAGTTACAGAAAACTCAATAAGAGACAATATGGTTGCTGGCAATATACAACGAAAAGAATGTACATTATTCAGTTGTTCATTCACTGAAGTGCTAACATCTAACTGGCGATTCCTCAATATTTATCGCCAGGACCGACCAAGAAGAAAGAAACGGAAACTTGTTGAAATACTTTGCGCTGAGAATTCTATATTGTACCAAAATTATAATATTGAATAAAGCTAATAATAATAATAATAATAACCGAAACCATACACCTCCTTAACTACAAATCTTCATCAACTCAAAGTTCCATATCTATCAAATTTGACAATGTCTATTACTGAATGATTGGCTGTACAAAGTTCAGTACCAGGCAACAACATAAAAACATCCCATTATTCATAAACAAAAGTTGACCCTAACAATTAAGATGAAAAGAAAAAACCACTATAATTTGAAATCAATGTCAATAAACGTGATAAAATTATCAGCTATCATATTAAATCCATAAAGACGAAATGATTCTTCTCAAACTTCTTTGATAAATAATACATTAACATATAAATGAATACCCTTCTTCTGTTTTCTTTACACAATCACTTTCTTTTCTATTTCGTTATCATTCTCTCAACATAATCGGTAAGTATACACACGCACACACACACACACACATACAACCATATACACAGATCAGAGTATGTAGAACCAGAAAAAAGGTTCAATGGTGTCTATCAACATTTGACAGTTTGATTAGGAATGTGTACAGAAGATTTTTTCTTCTTCTTAAAAATACCAGTGATAATTATCAATCAACTACAGTGATCACACTGATAAAAAGAAGAGAATTTCTCACATTAATTTTTATCATAAAAATTACCAAAAATAAATAAACAAACAAACAAACACGAGCAACCCTGAATAAGAGGTAAACTAAATGAGTAAGGTATATTGTAGTCTCGTGTATGACGTTTACTAGTTCACAGTGAACAAAAAAACAAACAGTGATCGGGTGAGATAGATAATGACTAAAAGTGGAATCTAAAACGCGTGTTTCGTCCTATTTCTTGGGACTCGTCAAGCATCCACGAGTTGTTGTTCAACCCAGGACTCGAACCCAAATGTAAATAAAATGATTTTAATGTAACTGGATCATTGTGTGTAAGTGGTTGTTTTTCAGCAGTCAGTCAGATTTCATTATTCCACGAAGATTATCAATACTATTACACTTGATCGATAGGATTTAATCAGTTCTAAAGGACCAGACAAACAAAATATTAGTCACCAATCATTGATTAATCAATGTAAATATCTCAGTATTAAAGGTGGTTAGTTACACCCCGAATAATTCAGTAGCAACATCTCATACTGTGAAAGAGGATGATGTGTGTTATAACTTGTGACCTGTGTGCCCTGTTAATGTATAACGTAACAATACCGCCAATTAGAGAACAGTAATTTATCGACGCATAAAACCTGTACGAGCAGTCTAGAGTCTTTATCGGTCCTTCTTCCTAACTAGCCCCCCCCTGCTTGTTGATTACAGAACACCAATCTCAGCCTCTGTGGTATGAATCATGTATTACAAACATACTGTGTTTATATACCAACCAGACAGACCACATCGTACCATAAAATAAGAAACAACATTTGTACAAGATTTAGCCAAAAGTGGCTATGAATATGGGAGATATTAATTGATAGACAGGGCATAACTCAAGAATAGTAAATCGTATAATAATAGTTCACAGGTCAAAATAAAGCTAATAATAAAAGAGACACGAATATGAATAGTTTAGTTACTTGACAATTATATGATAAAAATATACGTATAGTATTGGTCCATAAATGTGTCCCAAAAGTTACCATTGCTTATTCTCATCGGGATACAACAGTGGGTTCGAATGCTACAGCTACTTTAAGATCCCAGATACCACTTGTTATTGAGTGCCAACTACAAATAGACCTAGATTAACTAAGGTATCCTAACAACTACGTCCGACCATTTAGCATATAAACATAAAGCACGTAATGTTCACTGTTACTTACAAAACAAGTAAGGTATGTGTTGATAAAATTGCAAAGAAAAACAAATATATCTGACCAAACAGGTCAGAAACTCCGCCTGGAGTCCCTCTGGGGGCTACTGCCGGTCCCAAGCCCGGATAAAGGAGGAGGGTCGGGCACGGGGTTAGCGACCCCATCCCGTAGAAAACTAACTCGCTAAAAAAACGCTAACCAGAAAAAACTATTCGAACCTTTAGAAACAGGTCAGAGTATATAAAATCTTTCCATACCACTTCAAGATTGAATTTATCGCAATATCTATCTAATCCATCTTGCAAACAACAAAACGAATTTCATCAGAACGTAATCTTATTTTGACTATACATCGCAATCATCAATTGCGTCTCTAAGTTTTGCTGAAGAACGTAGTCTATTCATCATCGTAATAAATTTAGATGGCTTGGAATTACAATTTCGGTATTTAGACAAAAATAAAACGTTCTTGTTGTAAAACATGTCGCTAAGTACATGAATGTTTGAAAAATTCAACCACTGCAATCTACATAACCTCATCAAAAAAAGTCCCCAATAAACATAATAAAAAGTGACATTAAAAAGAACACAATGAACTTACACGTGGAGGTAAGTGTTTTTGTGAAGATTTACGAGTATTCGAGTCTAAATCACAAGACATTTGCCGAGATATAAGCAAATCCACTTGTTTCCCTGGTGTCAATGATCGTAACTGTGATAAAACTTGATTTAATGAACGAACTTCTTCACCGTCAATAGCCAATAGACGATCACCGGCCTGGGAATAAATAAATAAATTATAAAATATTTTCAGCTTCACATCTGTCGTATCGGATATTTTAATTGTAATGAGATGAAAATGAATAACTTAAAATATTAGTAAAGTTGTAACCAGAAGAGAATGAGATAATAAAAAAGCAATCATGAGGTCAGTAATGTGCATCTTGCCGTGTACTGGTACTGCCAGTAGAACTTAGGACTTGTAAACTGACAAAACTTTAGACACTTTAGAAAGTGCTCCCTGGTCCATCCACCCGTTATTCTAGATAAACTGAGCTTAAAAACGGGGTTAAAACGTGATATTGCAAAGAGTGGAAACTTCTCACCACCACTAAAGGTAGCTTCATTCACTTGAGAAATGAAGTTCATGTCAGTAACTTATAGTAGTTCTTTCGAGGTGTTATTTTGTTATATTTTAAAATAATTGCATACTATCAGTCACCAGAGTATCCGTCTGAAACAAACAGCACAAGTTATTGAATAACTAAGCGAAGACTAGTACAATAAGTTATGAGAAAAAACACGTTCTTGTGCGATGGGGTGAAGTTTAAATTCACTAGGTGTTACAGGTACATTCAGCTGACGAGTCCCAAATAGGAGCAAACACGTGTCCTAGATTCCACTGTCTGTGATTTAAGGCAATACCGAGGTAATCCGCACAGGATGTACATCTGTCAATATGAGACTGATCAACTGCAGTCCTAAACATCAATGGAGAAACTCAAACAACTAATAGAAGTTTGGTTTGGCAGAACAAATCTTATGTATCCATCAATCCTGTACATTTAATTAAAGATAAACCTCTAATTGAGCGATGAGAAGCGGTTCGCTTAATTAATTCTGGTCTTGTAAGCAATCAATCAACACTCGGTCGTACATCATAATCAATCCAGATAATCAACGGACTAGAGAACTACTAACTGTACGAATTGATTTTAACCTGGTTGTCGATATTTAGAACTTCATCGATAAGCCATTTGTTCACAGACAGATTTCTTGGATAAGTGTTTGAGTAAACGAAAACTGATAAATTCAGTTCTGAGTATTAACAATCGAAAAGAATAAACCATTTTATATACAACAGTAAGTAACAAACACATTTTTTAAAAAACACCGTTATTTATTTATTTACTAAACCCACATCAATATCACATACAATTGGGCAACAAAATTAGAATAGCTTACACAAAATTTGTGTGCACTGGGATACTGCTCGGGTGATAAAACTAAAACAGACCTTTTTATTAAGGCCCAATTCCGCAAACCTTTCATTATAAGATCTAATCTACGAGATAGTGGAGTAACGCCAGGAGCTGTAGCCCCATGATGGTCAATAAGCAAAAATAGATTTATACTTCGTTTGTCCCCTAGGGATCTTATAACCCATGTACAAAACTGGTTTGAAATCAGGATTTTTCAACTCCCCTGGAGATCTTCAATATTTACCAAACCAGTCTAACTCCCAGACGTTTTCTTATAATTTTGTCGGTTTGGTATAGAAAATGCGTTGCTGAGTGAAGGCAGTGAGTAGGATTTTATCAGAAGAGACTGTAAAAACGATCATATGAAAGAATTTTGAAAGGGAAAATAGACTGCAGTCATTCTTGACAATACCAGGGCGTTTGAAGGCTGAAGAAGCTGATTTTTAGACTAGAGCAGATTAGTATGACGTTTAAAGAGGGCTGTTAACTAAGGTTTTAGTCGAGACATCAACACTCAGATACAGGTATATCCAGCTGAAGAACTGTGCATAAAATGAAAAACATTTCCTATCAAAAGTCTCTATCCAAAGTATACAACAGAATAAGTCATATTCAATAGTTCAGTAAAACACTGACCAGTAAACGTCCATCTTGTATAGCAGCGCCATCGGGTAAAATCTTTTTCACATACACCGGATCAGACATTTGTGAACTTTGTGTTTGTGTATCACGACTAGTCAATGTGAAACCAAGACCGGTAGTTAACATCTTTGTCAACTGAATATGCATTGTTTGACCAATAGTTCGAGTATTGAATGCATTTGGATCTTTGCTTGACTATGAAAGATAGAAAAAAATGAAAAGACTTTATAATCAAAGACGATTTTACAAATCATTTATTATTACCTAATTAACTAAATGCGTAGGGTTGAAGTGTGCAAAATAATGTTTTTTTTCCACAAGGGTAAGGACTCATGAATTCTTCCTCTTTAGTTATTGCTTACCGCCTAAGAGAGTGAAGATGCATGTCAAAAGCGAAACAGTTGTCACCAATCACATTGCATGACCGTTGCATCTTATCACAAACTGAGATGAAATTGCACCATTGAACATTGACAATAAATGGCATTACGAGGTCGCTGATGATAATCATCTCAACTACAACAAACCTGAACCATAACACTTAATGTTTATCACTAGAATATCGGAAATTAATTGAGGTCGGAGCTATAAATTGGATGTCAACCCAGTGGTTCTGATAGTTTAGGGCATACCGCGATACCTAGAAGTCATGTGTGTGTATATATAAAGTCACATACAAGAAGGAAACAGCTGTTCACTGCTTCCTTGTATTTTAATGGCAGTTTCATTGAGGTTAATTTTTGACAGGCTCAGTCAACGAAGACTCACAAGCACACATAACCGATTCACCACATTTCTTTCATACCTTAAGATTAGCCTCCACATTGCCAACTTGAATATTTACTATGCACGAGGAGCGCTTCAACGACATCTACAGTCAAAACCCTGAACCTTGTGAATATCCTCTTCTTCTATAGACCATGATTCACAACCATAGAGCAACACAGAATTGACTACTGATCAGTTTATTCGTCTTATCGTTGTCCAATGGATATCTTATTTATGTTACAAATGAAGCAATTTTTTGTAAAACTTAAGCGATCTCTCCCATCACTCAGTCGAAATCCAAACGTTCACATTTCTAACTACATTTAATAGACGATATGACGTGGTCAGTGATTATAATCATAAAGTATAAAATCTGACCTGTATAAAACAATGATCAGATTATAATTATTTAATAAATCTAGATATATTCAAGAGAAAACGCACATGATCAAAATCTTACTTACTACATCATCATAAATCTTATCATTGTGAATCACATTGATAAGATAAATGAAAAAAAAAGATTGATTGACCGATCAGCCTGATTAACTTAGCAAATTACAGCAACACATGATGATGATCATCATCATGAAGAGCACTCATCGACCCACAAACACTCATACATATATACAATATACATTCACACATACACAAACACACGATCTTACGATCTGTTTTAATTCACATGCAACAATGAGATAATAATAATAATAATTTTCTTTTTACATGAAGTAATATTTATCTTAGATATTAAATCAACGTCAATTTCGAAACGATTACAATTAGTAATACATATATATATATTGTGTGCTACTGATGTCGACGGATATAAGTAGTATGTATCACCAATCGAAAGTGGAATGCCTAGAGGCAGAAAATTGAGGAAATCGAAGAGAACAGACCGAATACAGTGATTAGTATGGAAACGAAAAAACAACAAAGTCTGATACAGTTGACGGATATTTCGCAAATGAAGTATTTTTTTAACTGTATAGTTTTCAGGATTTACTAAGAAATTCTGTAATTTTGTATTCAAACACACTTGGTTGTCTCCCATTCATGTGTTCTCGTTCACTACTATATATATGAAGTTAGTATTAAGCATTTGGATCCAATGAATCAATAAAGAACTCAATAATCTTTCTTAAGACGATATGTTTTGCTTACTAGTGGTTAACTTTGAAAAGTTCTAGTGAGAAGCCATGACCAGTGTGCAGTTTGGATTCATGATCGAACATAAATCGAACAAAAATATCACAAACGACAATAATGATTTAGTCTCATCTATAGGGTAAGATTGCCATAATAATGTAAGTCTATTGTAACTGACTTCAGTTTTAAAAAAACGTTAATAACTACGAAACATTAGAAAGTCATTTCGTCTGGCGAGACTATAAATTTTATGGACGAACCAATTAGATATAAGATAGCAAATCTTGTATTTTTTGTGAAACTCATTCATCTATTTGGCTAAATATCATTTTGGCATTTTAGCTTATATCAGCTAGTGATGAAAACTCTAAATGTAGTTTCTAACCCTAATCATCAATTGTAAATCATAATTCGACTTTCTCACACTGGTTTATAACCCTTATTTTAGTCCTAGTTAGTAGGTGACCATTCTCAGGGTCACTTTAGCGTCACTCAAAGGTCATCCATAATCTCACATAACACCTATTTACAACTTCGAAAACTAGCATCAAACTACAACAACACAACTCAATAGTATTCAATTACTATATTTTCTAGAGATTTTAAAAAAGTTATCTGTCCGTAATTCTCATGGGCATACACATGCATACATCATTCATCGACAAATAAACAGATTTGGATATGTAAATGTAACAAGAGTGTACCAAGGTTACAATGATTTGGAGAAGACAAAATTGTGTTCCACTACATCATCACAATCACATGATGCATACATTTAATTATAACTATATGATTACAAAATAGTGTTATGCATAACTGTTACTTTTAAAATAAACATGATGAAATATTTGACAAAATGTTTCAAGTTACTTTTTTGGCATGCTGTGATGAATACACACAAACACACACACACACACATAAACATGTGTGCATTTAAGTGCTCCTCCAAACGATATGATGTTAATGTATAGTGTACATTGAGAAAATTTAAAAAGTATATTTGACGTAGATACATTCAGTATGACGATAAACATGTTCAATTATCAATGCTGAACAGAGCTTCATGTAAATTTGATTTCTTGTTAGTCGTTAAACTATAGCTAAATAATTAACAAAATCAAAAGCCTCATTTCATTCCATTCTCAAGACTTTACAGCACCTAAATGTACACATACTGACAAGTTCTAAAGAAATAAGACGAAACGCTCGTCCTAAATTCTACTCTATCTAAAAACACGATAATAAAATCAACAGCCTAATCTCTCAAGTAGGAAACATAATTAGAGGATACAACAGCAATTACTAAAAAGAGGTGACCAACAACCGCCCCTGAGAGAATCTTTATGTTTATGTGTGTGTCATAAAGTACTGGAGAGATAGCCGCCGCGCCAATGATATGCATGTAATATGTAAGCCAGTCTGCTGTAGCAAATTTATTTCAAAGGGGGCGGTGAATATCTACCCTCCCAAGTGGGTGAATATATTTATATTCACGCAATGGGATGCAAGGGATAAAACCCGTGTGTTACCGGTATACGTATTCACAGGGTAGGTATAGATGTATATATGCCAAGGGATACATGGATGAGAGACTGTGTATCATCTAGTATGCAAGTAGATTGTAACTATCCAGGGTAAAACCTCAAATAATCCTTTACTTACTCTTCTTGGTGAGACACCCACTCCAAGACCCGTAGGGTTGTGGTTCCCCATAAAACCACATCTATGCAGTGGGTTTGTGAGCTTTGAAAACACGGAATCCATTACAGAAGGGCCATTAGGCTTCACTACAAAAGGATTGACCAAGCAATCTGGCTGGAACACCGTACGACTACCACCGATTTTAGGATATAACAATAAATATCTCCTTACCATGCATACAAATTATAATTATTCAAAACATACTTGGTATTGTTTTACTTGAATCTTCCTATCGGGACTCAGTAGCTAAGTGGATAACGCGATGGCGTTTTAAGCGAACGGTACTGAGTTCAAGTCCCAGAGTGAACATCAACTCTGAGATGCAGGTACATCCAGCTGACGAGTCCCAAACAGGACAAAACGCGCGTCCTGGATTCCACTGCTAGCCACTATCCATCTTTGCTTATATTCAAAACATATTTTTAAAATGTTTTTCCACAACCAATTCCAACCGTATTCAATTATTCAAGTTTTCTAACAGTTCAGACGCTACAACTACGTTTTCCATTCTTATTATCTACGGTGTTTGAATTTCTATAAATTGTTCTTCTTTCTTTTCAATGGATGGATAGAAAGAAAACAATTAAGTATCGAAATAATGTGCATCTGTTTTACAGCATCCTGTGAGTGCGTATAGTCAACATTCATAATTATGCAGTTAGAAAAAAGCTAAAATAGATAAATTAATTGAGATGTTTGCACAACTAGAAAATAGGAAGTTCAAACGTCTGAGATGGTAGCTGAGTATACCTAAAATCCATCGATTACAGTTTTCTACCAAGCATTTAAGAACTTATCTTGAGTCATTTATACGACACCAAATTGATCTAGAATTAAAATGAATTTTAACGAAAAAAAACGATAAGTCCCTCACTTCTACTGTCGTATGGACCCAGAATAAATCTGTATCAACTCAATACCTCATAATGTACATCAAAACAAAACAAGAAATTGATAGAGTGAGAAGTTAAATAGTAAAACAGATAGAAATGTCAGTGATCAGCGAAAAGACCACACATCAATTATGCAGTTTAAGATGAATAAAAAAATATAAAATGCCATAGAAATGTGACATCCGCAACCGATTTTAAGCCATATCATTCAAAGATCTTAACTAAAGAATATTTGGTACTCAGAACAGTTTCTATCTGAAACCAAAGTCAACACTAACGTTCCAACAGTTCTATTGTACAGTGAGGAAATTCCAATTACCCCAACCACCATAAAAAAGCTACAGATATTATTAAACGGCTGTCAACACAAGATACTCTAGATCAATTAGAGATCATTAGGTATTACCTACTGTAAAAGAGAACCAACCGGCTTCCAGATGATGAGAAAATTAAGAAAAAACACTGAAAGTGGATAGGACAAGCAGTACAGAACTCATGTAACTTCACAACAAGGTAAAACCCAACTTAGAATCATTAAGGCTAGGGAAAAGAAGGGAGGTCAAAGAACATGAAGTGCCGGGGATTGACGGCAGATATCAAAAAGATGAAAATTACCCGACAACAATTAGAAAGGAGAACGCAGAACAGAGTTGACTGGAGATTCCTGGTTGGCAACCTCTA